GGCATCACACAGACAGCATTCTTCAAACATTCTCCATAAGCTAAAATCATGTCAGTCTTTTCATCATTGGAATAAGTCCACATGGTGTTCTATGGTTCAGATTTTGCTCAGTTTATAATTAATTTGTAGCGTTTGTCAAAAATGACAATGACGATGATTGATGATTGAATAGACATCCTAGATTCAAATTATAATTTTTTTAAAAGTGTCGCAAAGCAACTTGCGAAAGTGTAATGGTGGTTGCATCGAAAATTTGGTCAGGCTCATTATATATACCTCGTGAATCATCCTGTATTTTCACTAATACAATTTTTAAATCAAATGCCCATCCAATAAAGTGTACCTATATGTCAGTTCGAGTTAATATTATTTAAATTCTGAAGCGCTATTTTAACTGACTGCATGCTTCATTTGAACAATGAAAATTGAAATTTATACACAATTTATAGAAATTAGAAATATCATACATTGATTAAAAAAATATATTTTCTATAATAACATTCCCGTTTTCATCAATACATATTAATGTGTAAAAACAAATTCGTTCAAAAACTCATTTATTTCACGAAGTACCTAATTGTAATGGCAGAGTTATATTCTCTGGTCTTGAAGGGCTGCATCGCTGGCATGAACGACCTCTCCCCTCCTGGGGAAACTCCCGGTGAAAAACACGCCAACGCCAAAAATGAATACTAATTTTTTTGAAAGATTTTACTAAAAAGTCTTCTTGTAGCTTGGGAACAAGTGCATAATGAATTTTAATAGGCAATAAATGTCTACAAGAAAGTTACAAAGGAAAAAATGCAATTAAGTTCGGCAACGCTTCAAAGTAGCTAGAAGTTCCACAAAAACTATATCTCCGATTAAAATCGCCCGTCGTAAGACTTGAAAGAATTACTAATTAAGTGTAAATTCTATTTCCTTTTGGATTCCAAAACTGCTAATGGAAAACTCCCCCATTTTAATCTACTCATAAATCCTAAACCTGCCGTTGTTTGACTGACGTTCCACCAAATAAAACCAACTCAAAAGGAATCGCCTGACCCAGAAAATAAAGTAAATGTCAACGTCTTGCAACAATGTCGAAAACCCAAAATAAAACTCAGATAATTTACTTTAAAATTAAGTTGGTTGTTTAGTGTTATGTTATTTTCATGACAAGTTATTCAGAAGTAAACTAGAAAATCCAATAGTAGTTGCAATTACTTTCTGTTGAAAGTTAATTCTCCAAAATATGCTTGAAGTTTCATTTAACAGTAAATTCAGGATAATGTTATCATATCCTTATGGTGATGGTGAGTCGCATTAGACGTAGTCATACTATAACTTTTTAATAGCAGTTAAGGCGAACCGGTGGCCTTAATCGATAGAGGATTGATGGAAATTTGCTTAAAAGAAAACTGAGATACCAAGACTTTAAAAATACACATAAAATGCGGATAGAAAGTGACACAAAGATAAAATAAACATTCAAAAAAAAGGAACATACTACAAGATTACTTTATCGAGTTTACCAAGACGCCTCAAACTAATTTAATTTAGTTGTAACTTTTATAGTAATTTTAGTTTTAGAAATGTTCATTTTGCCTGTATTCTAAGTCAAAATGCATCAGAGCTAATTTTCTCCCTTTCCTCCGAACTCATATTCTGTAACATAAATCTGCATTATGCATAAATTTTGCAGGAAAATCCAGCATCTCGCCGACCTGCAAAAGCAAGTAAATCCTTCTTACGTCGTGATATGGCGAAGATTCTATCGATATTATCTTGTTAATTAAAACAATCGTTAACGATCCTCAATTTGTTCTTGATGGATGACATAGCTCTGCTTTAGATCATGCGAGGAGAATTCTATTCATTGTTGGAATGTTAATGTGTGGCCGCGTGTACAGAACATTTGTAGTGTGACAAAGACATTCATGTCGCTTTAACAATGCCCCGTTTTATGTCTACCGAGATACACACACTTGGACTATCCCTTCGAACATGAAGATGAATCGTTTGTCACGCGACACGCTTTGTATCCCAATAATAATTAGATGCAAGTAACGAAAGTTTTAATACTCAACTTCCAATGTGTCGCATGATCAAAGACCGTTCTGGGAAAGTTTTTCCATCTGAGGTGGTTTCGACTAAAGGAGTTGTGTGTGTTTTTTGACTAAATCGTTGCATCACATGCTAGCCTACAAATTAATTATTTTTCCGGGTGGTGTGCTTGCACAGATGGCTCCGGGCAAAAGAACACACAAGTGAAAACTCAAAAATTAAAAAACAATATTTGAACATTCTATTAAATGCAATCAAATAATAATCAATCTTTTGCGGGCAGAGAATTTTTCAAGCATTGGCATTTAGCTGCAGTGAATCGATAAAATTCATGTTTCGTGGGAGGTGAGCGAACACGTACTGATTAACTTAAGTACACGTTATTTTAGCGACTAATGAGTTACGGCCAATTTCATTAACGTCAATGACAAAATGGGGGCTTTTAATGGCATAATAAATACACGCTTGGAGGTTCAAAAGCTGAGACCCGACAGAATATCCTCGTAAAAATACTCATCTATTATTGAATTGATTTGGGTGTAGAAACTTAGAATCGACATAATTAATTGTTAATAAGGGAAAGTGACTTAACTGAATGAAAAGGTCGGTTGTATTGTCACCCTGATTATTGTGCTACGAAAGTAAATAATTAAATATTTATCTGAAGAGAAGCAATATTAGTAATTAGTTTAAATAAAAGAGGTTGATGCAATTAGAAAAATTGTGATTATTTTAATTTCACGTTTGGTTCGGGTTTACAAATTTTTAATTAAAATCACCTAAAAAGAAAATAATGTTCATAAAATCAATGTTTAGAAAATTTCCACTGAAACGCTCGATCTATACAGCAACTAAAATATAATTTTCAGTTTCATTTAAATCTTCAACAGCAGCCTGTCGGAAACATTTAACGATTCTATTAATGTTTAGTTGTTTGTTATCTCTAAAACCCAATTTTTACGGTTTTAATTTTGCCCCAATTTGACATAGATTTCAGTTTGTCATAAATTCTGAAATTTATTTTATGTGTGAGAGGTTGAATAGTAAAATGCTCTCAAAATAATAATTCACACTCAACAGGTATTCAATTAATCACGGGCAACAGAACAGACAGCGATCTCGATTTTCAATAATTACTGAGTTTTTGAGAAGTGTAGCGATGATAAATTTTGGGTGTCACAGTTTTTACGTTGACAAATGTTAAATTGTTCATCCGTAAAATCTCTCATTTAAGATTTAACAGTTCGTATAAAAGGCCTGCGACCTTTTTCGATTATTAAACGAATTCCTGTAAATATGAATTTATTATATTGACGGGCCTCGTTACACATTAATTAAACGAACATTGAAACATTTTCCATTTTATTCCCTCATAAATTTAATTATCCAACATGTGCTTTTTAAAATATATCCCGAAACCTCGTTAAAATTGAGACTTTTAACGAGTATCATAATTTGTATTTAACTTTTAACTGTCGGGAGAGTTGAGGCACCTCTTTCTCTGGATTATCCAGATGAATAGGGCTTTTAATTCATTAAGGTGCGTCCTTTCTATCGAAAGTAAGTAGCGTTCGAGGACAATGCGTGTTGACAACTGTGGGTAAACAGGCCTAGCTTCTGCTTTCAAGCCGAATTCTCGGCGAAGAGCAAATATTTGACGGTGCAAACACCGTCGAGATGATGTCTAATACTCCCGTCTAGTGTAAGAGGGTTAAAACGCTTCCTAGTCGTTGTCATAGCGAATCAATAACGATTACCTCCAAAGAACTTCTTTAATAGGCCTAGTGTCGCATAAATTTTCTTCAATAACAATAAAATTTTATTGAGCTTGTACGTGAAGTCGTCAAATAAATTATGTTCGCGGGGAACTTCGAGCTTAAGGGTTGCTGTTTGTACATAAATTTAACAATAAAGCCTCTGTTACCATTAACAATTGAACAGAACATAGAGAGCTTTAGAGACAAGAATCTGGAAATTAATTTGTTTTAAAGTTGAAGTTGATGTATTCAAATCTGACCTAGTTTGAGAAATTTTAGAACTTGTTTGCTTACACTAGGGGTAAATTAATTTATTAAAGGCCAATTCTTTGCCTCCTTACTGTAATTTTCGTTTTATATTCACTCACATTCGGGGGTGTCAACTTGCTCTGAACTTTGTAGTTTCAATCATTTATCATTTTAGGATGGCTGTGTTTACAAGTGAATATTTCTGTCGACGTTTAATCAACGTTGAATTTTAATAAACTTTATCATTACTCATGTGCTCGCTGCAGCAGCTCTGCAACAACAGAAAAATATAGAACAATTAATTTTAATTATTTTTAAAAAGCAATAACATTCCTCATTTGCTCGTTTTTTTCAGTGAATAAAATTTTACATCTATACACATTGACTTGGATTGTGAAGTGCGTTTTACTTCATTTTTATGCCATTGTTCTACAAAAACAAGTGCCTACCACTCCGGACAAAAATGAGAAATCAAATTTTTTACACTTTTTGAAAATCTAATTTAAGTCTAGCAATTTTTTAATGTCACAATGGTACAGGAATATACATAATAAGGTTTTTTTAAATTTGATTTTCAAGTTTTTTTAAGTAAATGAAACAGAATAATAAATGTCGCTGCTTGGCTTAAAAACTGTCGAGTTAATTAAACTTAGCTCACCCGCCATTTGGGGAACATGAACCTGATTAAGTTATTTATATTGAAGTTCCAAGTTTTAAGAGCTTTCTTTACGAGCGTGTTAAACAAGCTTCCAATATTTAGAAACAGAAAGTCATTAAAGATTTGTTTGTGCGTCAACACTGGTTACGTTGGCACCTCTCTATCGGCTTGACGTGGGTGTATAAAAGCCCCATAAAAAATTAACCATCGTCAAGAAAACGTTAATTTACTACTCGCTAATTACTGCTGTTTATACAAAGTAATTACTGCAGTGCAAAGTACATACTTACATGCTAACGTTTATATTAATTTAGAGCTTCTGGCGGATTCTGTCTGGCATGTTGCAACCCTCAACTGCAAAAGAAAAGGCAAAGTAAATAAAGCTTCAATGCGTTTTTAACATTGATAAAGAAGCTCGACATATACACGAGTCGAGCCGCCAAAGAAAAAGAAAGCGGGGCTTTAGAGTTGACAAGCAGATATTTTAAATAATTAATGCGCTTTTTAGAAGGCTTCCATAGCAACTTAACGATAGAAAGGAATTAGTGAAAAACGTAAAATACTTCGGACTGTTTTATTCACGTCATTCTGGTGCGAATTGTAAGAATATCACGGCTGTCTTTATTATGCAAATGCTTTTGTTTTCGAGAATGTCAAATTAAGGCAGACAATTCAACTGAGCTAGTTGCCATCATACCATAAAACCAAAAGCGCTTTTTTCCCATCTAAAGGATAATTATTATCCTGAAGTTGGAACTCTTGCAAAAAAAAATGGAAAAGAACGCGTTGTTGTCTTAAGGCATGAAAGAAATACTGCACTAATGGAGCTTATTATGCAAGCTTTGCTAAAAACAATTACTTTAATACAATCAGTTTTAAGGTATGGTAAATTGTAACAGCCATTAAAAGTTGCGGTAGCTTTACAAGCTTATAATGAATTCTTTCGAAGAGCATCATTTGAGATTTTGAAAAAGTTTCTCAGTACTCCACTATAACACATATTATACATTATACTCGTACATTGAATTTGGAAGTATCTATTTTTATTTCTGTTACGACTAAATGAAGCAAATGTTTTTCTATACACAACATGTAAACAAAATATAAAAAAATACGAGGATACCACTTCTTTTATATTTACAAGATTAAAGCATGTAAGAGAAAATAAAACATATTATTCTCTAGCATCGTAAAACTTTTACCTGTTGAAAGGATTTAAATTCCCTACTGAAAAATTAGTTCGTCTGCTTTCAGAATTTTAATATTTAATTTCACTTGGGTACTTTTTAAAGACACCTAAACTGTGAATTGAACAATCATAAAGTTAGTTTCTTCAGATTATTTAATAAAATATAACGTAAAGTTAAAAATACATCAATTCACTCTGTAATCATTCAAAGCTACATTTAAAGGTGCCAATGTACAAAGCTGGAACTACATATAAAACTTTTTACAAAATAAAAACTTTCAAATTTGTTTCGGGTTTGAAACGTGGTGAAAAACGTGAAATTATTCAATAAAATCAATCTTTTGAATTTTCATAAATACTTTAATAAAAAATGACACTAAATAGAAAGTTTTAGCAAAACGTTTTGAGTGATACGAAATAAACGAGAGCGTCAAACGTTAATTTTGTCGTAGTACGGTTTCATATTAGATTTTTAGCAAAAGCTCAAATATCACAGATTACGAAATGTTGCTGTGTTTAGGGACCTAAATGATAAAGAAATTGAAGAAGCAATTATAAACAACATTTTAAATCCTCGAAGAGCTCCTCTTAGGAGACTTTAATGACAATGAAATCGAAAACTGAATTCTTCAAAATATTCTGAGCGTTAGGGTCAGGTCAAAAACTTATTCAAGACTGAATAAAGTACTTTACCAACAGAAGAATTTACTGCTTATTTTAGGTATTATTAAATATTTTAATTACATAATTATGTAGCATTCGATATTTTTTTAAGACTTATTAGACTATAAGATATTGATCGGCTTTGAAATGTATTAGCAGTGGCGGCTCGCGATAATATCTACAGAGTGTTTCACACAACTTTACGAGGCTTGCGCATAATGTACGCACCCAAATATACAAAAGTCACAAAACACTAGATATGAAAAATACACATTTAATTATTTAATTTTTGGAAACCCATGACAGTAGTTGTCAAACTAATCACTGTTTCATTAATAAACTGCAGTTTTCCAGAAACAATTATCATATGTTCTATCAAGAGACGGCTCAAATATGATTCTAGTTTATCTATCTATCTGAACTAACTAAAAACTTTGTAATTTTTGAAAGGGTGAACAAACTAGAGAAGATTATCCAATTTTTCAAAATTTGTAATCGAGTTCGTATCGGAATATGTATTATTGATTGCATTTTACAGGCGCAGGCCTCGTAAAATTATGTAAAACACCCTCTATACTAGGTCGGCAGAAAAAATTATGATTCACTATTGTTGGCCAATATGTATTATTTATTTATAAATTAGTAGATAGTTTTTGATAAAGTTCTTTGTAGCTTATTACTGTTACTAATTTTATAAATAATATTGTTTGGCAAGAACCAAAGAGAAGGTCTAGATGCGTGATCCCCGGTTAATCAACTTTCCACCCTACACTAACATCAAAGAAACTAAAAAAAAATTTCTTCAACTTTTCCGTTAGTAACATATCGTAAGATTATCAACAATAACTGTGCAAAATTAGACATGTCTGTAGTTTCGTCCACTTGCCTCGAAAAACATTCTGTTTCAATTTTACTTAGAATGAAGTGAGCTAAACAAGTAAACATTGTATTAAATCGTTTTGAATAGTTTTTGATAGACCATTGAAAACTAATGGTTCATTTAAAAAAACTTGTAATTTTGAATCATATTTACTTAGTAATTTTTTTCCAGTCTACTACCTGGTCAGATTATGTAAGGTATGATCACGGAGAACTACATACTTTAGGTATCCGTAAGTGTGTAGAAAAAATAATTAGAAAAATGTAGATCACACCTGTAGCATTAGGCGTCCGTATCTTTTAAGAATCAGGGCACATAAAAGGCATTTTTTACACATCTTTTTTTACAACACTATTGATGGCATCTGCAGCCAAAATATTCTGCCATAATATGTACTTTTTCAGTCCGGCCCTGCATTGGATTGTGTCACACGGGATGGCAACGTTTTGGTGGCAATATGTGTCGTATTTTATGTTATAATTATCTGTGTTGTAGTGCGTTGTGTGGTGCTCTAAATTTGCAGTAAATCACAAATTGAATTAAAATTTATTCCGAACGCTCCGGCCCCGTAATATCGACCAGGGCCAGGCATTAGCAACCGAATTAACCAGATTATGATCTATTTGTCGTCGCGGTGGTGTCCGTATAACTTTATGACACTAATGCATAGACCGGAATTTCAGTGAAAAGGAGTCCTGGAATTGAAATGCACAAATCAAGGACCGAAGTCAGAAATCCTCCAAATAGCAGGATTATAATATTTCAAGAACGTGTACGGCATAATAATAAGGTATCTTTTTTTAAAATAGATGGCACTGCAAAGTGATGATTTATCGATGCAGACGATGCGTTTTATCGTCACTATCTGTTGGTAATTTAAAGGTTTTTCAAGATTGGCTTTTGCTCAACTTGAAATGGATTACGTCAAATATTGACAGTGAACAAGGCTTCCGGAAAGCGATATTTTCACCAAAACAAAACAAGCGAAAAATAAAAATATTTGTAGGAAAAAGTGATTCCGTGCCACGGCTCATCGAGGGGGTACCCGGCCGCGAGCTTATCCGAAAACAATCAAATTTCGTATTGTGTGCCGTGAATTTTTTTCATGCCAACTTGAATATTTGAAGGCACGGACACAAACACGACACTTGAACAAACATTTTAAGAGCAAACAGAGGCTTCTGTTTCGGTTATTCTCCTACATTCAACTGCGTCAGCGAAGGGTTGAACGCAAACATCCCAATTAAAAATTTTATGCTGCTTAAATGTATAAATATAACCGCTGCAAATTGTGGAGGTAATTAATGTTTCACGGCTGCAGTTCCGGATTTATTTCCTGCAATACTCGTTATCAAGCTCTTCTTTTAAAATATAAACGTCTTTACGAGCGAATTTTCACGTTTTATCTTTAACAGCCACTCCGAGATTACTTATTAGTTATAATAAAGCAGCTCGACAATTCGCGGAAATCGCATTCTTCAACCCATAAATCTGTAAAAACTGATAGCCCTTCAAAACGTACATTTCTTAAGAGAAAATTCAAATATGTAGTTGACTAAGATATTTCTCTTGGCTAGTTATAAGACAATATTAATGTTTTAGTATAGTTACATTTGCAATTTAGATCACTAGCTGAGACGTTGCATATTCTCAGTTTCATAAAATTTAAATTTCCGGTTTTACTCTGAAATTTTAGACGCTATATTATTTCAACTGTCTCCACTAATCCGCGACAAAGCTGTTGTCTGAATATTATTAAAAAGAACCACTTCAAGTAAAGTAAATCTTCATCAAGTCAACCAAAGTTTAAATGTTATTACATCGTTTTTGCCAAAATAACTAATTCCGTAATAAGATGTTATTCTTCAGTAAACTAAAATTTATCACGTAGATGAATCACGAGACGCACTAAGCTCGTATTTGCGTATCACGTTCGAATCATCGCTCGCCCATTCCATACCTCAATAAAGTCGTGTTAGCTCCTAAATCCGGCCCTGTTTCTCGTCTAAATTCCTCGAGCTCTTCCTTCCCTTCGCAATGAAAAATGTCGTGTCGAGATGAGTTTTTGGCTGCCGCCTTCGATTACACCCAAGACCATGAAGGCGCGAAAATAGCAAACGTCGTATTAGGTGGAGCGTGAACGTGTTTCCCGCAGAATTGCGACAAAATCGAGAATGCACTATTTTGCAGGATTTACAGCAGCGGCAATCCACGTTTGTTGCTCGTAATGCAAGGAAACGACGTCACGATCGTGCAATATAGGACTTTTTCATGAAACAATGGCAGCGGTGTTTCGAGAGTGAGTGATTCATTCGAGACATCGAATCGTGTTTCATGTCCGGAGTCAATGCGATTTTAGAGAAAAGACTGAAAATTCCGGTAAATCGGACGTGTCGAAGACGGTATCGATCCGTAATTGTGTATATTTATATGGACGAAGACGGGGAAGGGACTCATTGAGAGATACAGTACCACTTTGTAAACAGAAAGGATAAGGAAGACGGTTTAACTGACAGCGAGGGTGGGTGCACTTATTCTAATGCGGTTGCACAAACAAAAATAGATGACATTTATAGGTCTTGATCAAAGTTTCTTGGTTTAAAAAAAATTGTAAGTTTAGTA